AACAGATAAATGACTAGGTAATCGCCTGTCTAACTTAATTGCACTCAATGCTTGAAGAGTTAAATGGGGGAGAAATAACTCACAAGGATGAGATATGGACCAAGTTCATTGGTACTGCTGAACTAATGCTGAGCCTGTAAGATTTCCATCAGAGACTAACAGACAGGGTTTTTATCTTCAATGTATTCTAGACTGTCTCCCATCCTTTTGCCTCCGACGACAAACATGCTCTGGAGATCTGACAGGCTTATTTCTGAATAAAATCACAACAATGTATGCTATCTTTCAGCAAGGTGCTACTAAAAAAAAGTAAGCTATTGAGTGTGAACCAGGGCTTAAAAGAAACTCATCTTTAAAAAGCTGAAACAGATGGTCAGTAACGGAAGGATATCCAATTAAACATTAGACAGAAAGGGTAAAAAAGCTTCATACAAATATTAAAGCATGTCTCCATTTTATTAGCAACTAAACAAACTTTTCTCAATGAATCCATTCCCTTACCATTTACAACCAGAGTGTGTAAAGCCTCACAAATATATAAAGTTCAAAGTCAAAATTAACTTTTTTGCTCCCACTGCTTCTACTAGAATGTTTTTCCAAATATCTCATTCAGACTGGAAATTAGTAATCAAAACTATTTTAGTTCTTTCATATACATTTCCACTTGTATCAGTAGTTGACCTTTTGCCAAATCTTCCTTCAGCCCTGCTGGTACTCTGTAGCCCAAGTTTATTTACAGACACCAGTTATATCCTCTCTTTCCTTCTTATTGCAAGGGTAAACAAGGCTAGCTCTTTTAGCCTCCTTCCCTGTTTACCACTAGGGAATGAAGAGCTTAAGCAAAAGAATCAGAACAATAAATAAAGAGGATGTTATCATTTTCCTAATCCATATTAGGGATGCTATTAAACTCTGATATTACCAAATTGAAAAAGGATTTAAACGTTTTGTCAGTAAGTTCCCCATAGTAAAATGAATCCCTGTGCTCCTCGTTCTGTTGCACTAATTAAACAGTTTTAACTAAAATGGTCAGAAAGTACGCACAAGCTGTTTATCACTGCTGGCCTTTGAGCTTCAGTATACTCAAAGGACATGCTACTTTAGATGCGATAATTACTGAGTTCTTACATTTTTACTGAAGAGGCACAGAAGAGTTCCAACAGAGAATTTCACATTAATCAGAGCTAACAGGGTACTTATTAATAATAAAGCCATGATTAGAATAGAAAAACATTTATTCAGTCCAACATTTGTAGGTACTAATTCCAAAAACTGTTTAAATTGATATCAGACAGAAAGTTTAGTCTCAGCTCTTTAGGGAAATTCAAGAAAATTAATCATTTATCCGAAGCGTAAGAAATGCTAAAGACTATTAACTATTTACACACAAACAGCAGCATATCCTCCATTCTTCTGCTTCCTAAGAGCTCAATAATTTTCCTGACGCCTTTTCTTCTTTTTTAAACTCTGACAGAAGGTATTTCTCTATGAATTGGAAATGCCTTCAAACTGTAACACCAAAGACTTAAATGAGCGTACAAAGATTTAACTGTAGACAGAACACATTTTTAACTGAAGGGCAAATTATGGACAACTAATGGAATTTAATCTTCTAGGTGCCTTCTACACAATTTCTTTCTCAAGTTTCAGGAGCACATACATGGTTCAGAAAAGCCAAGTAGCTCAAATCTCGATTTTAAGACTAAAATTTCTACAAAGATCTAACACCTTTCCAAGGGTGCTAGAATAATATATACAAATATACACAACTGCATTACTGTAGCTTGCAATGGAAAAACAATAAGCCAGAAAGCAGACCACCCCAACAGTTACACAATTTATCAGATCGTGATTACATCATGGAAAAATGTTCCGTATTAATACGACATACAAAAGAAAATTAGTTATTCTTTAGCAAGATTTTTGCATTATTTTCCACTTTAGTACAGAAGTGGAAATCAGACTTTACACAGTCAGCATTTAAAAACTACAGGCTGTTCAGACAAACGATTTTTTTTGAAAGTTGAACCTTTCATCAACTCTGGTCTTAGAATAAAACCACTCAATATGCACTCATATAAGAACCTAAACTATTAAGAGATTATAGGGAGTTTTATATATTTATTTTAGCTTTGTAATTCAATTTTATATATTCTATCCTCTTTGAAGTACTCAAAGGACAGTCAAACAGTAATATTGAAGTGGTGTAGGCTATGAAAATTTACTGTTTTGTCTTTTATACATATCTGTATAGATGTATGTTTATATATACATATATAAAACATAAGTTAGTTTAATCTTATGGCAAACCATTATTTTTATGCCTCAATTAATTTAGGATTCTGTGCACAAAATGGCACTATAGTACTATTCAGTATTCACTACAGCCAACTAATCTATATGCTTAAAATTATAACTCAGAAATATTTACTGGAATAAAAGCTTATTAGAACATCATAAAAGTTTGTTGATTTTTTTTTTTACTTCTGTTATTAAAAATATTACTAAATCTCACATCAGGAAAGTTTCTCGTCACTCTTCTCTGAATAATCTTTTAAGTTTATTCATCTTTATGCCTTTGTAAGGTATACAAGATTGTCAGTTTGAAGATAATGATAGCAATAGAAAGAACTAACTGGATTTATCTGGCAAAATCACCCTCATAGTCTGCACAGCATGTCTTCCCTGTATCTGATAACAACTAAATCAATTGCTAGATATGAGTAAGCAGTTTCCCATTACACTGTGGTTACAATCAAATTATCTTTACAGGTGAAATTCATCTTTACAAGTGAATTTTACAGGTGTTTTTTTTTAAGGCAAGTTGGAATCACTGTACTCCAAACCTTCTGAACACTGTATTAGCTTGAATGCAAAGCAGGTTATTTAATTTCTAACTTGCAGAAAAATCTTAGAAAGGGCCTACATACAAAACCACAGCTTTTTTTGTATGTAGTGGTATATTCTAGTTGCTTAACCAATTCTTGAGGCTGTGCAGATCCTATTCTGAGTAGCTAGGACCAAACACAGGCAACATGTAGAGAGGCAGGAGCATGCAGAGAATGCTGGGCTTGGCTCCCCAATGAAGCTTGAACTGCCAAGTACCACCACAGCGGTAGAAGCTGTACATTTTCTAGCCAACATTTCACATCAGCTCACAAGAACCAACTGCCCTTTATTCCAGGTCACATGTATACAAATCACAAGTCTCTCCAGCTTCTGAATTTTTAAGAGTTTACTAAAATGAATTAGTGACCACTTCAAGGGCATTCTTCTGAAGGCACACAAAGAGCTTGCAGTAGCTAGAGAAATCGTACACTGGAAGTTACACAACTGCTTTGACAGTAACTAGAATCAAACTCTTTCCTGCTTCTTTACACTACATTTGATAATTAACTGGCAGTGAAGAGCCAAGCTACTACACCCTTGATTCCTAGAAGAAAAGCTTAATAATAATTATAGGAAATCCAACCCCCTTTTTCTTCCTTCTATCTGATGATCCCGGTACAGCAACCATTGAGTTCTGTAAAAACTACAACTGATAACTAAGGCAACTCTTAGCAAAGGATGCATTGTTGAGTCATAAAACAAAGATTTCAACAACTAAGCTATGTTTTAAAAAGCCAATAAGCAACGTAACTCTAAGATATATACAGATATCTAAGTACAGAGCTACTTACATCGCTTTACAGAACAACTGCATAACACAGCTCCTCTCAAAATCTGTAACTCCAAGGAGTTTCAAAAGAATCACTGTTTTTGGTGTGATATGTATGCATGTACATACGTGTACATATATGTATACAGATACACATAGGCATATATTTAATTTGGAAGAAAAACAGATGGGAAGGAGAGAGAGATGCCCTTACTTCCAATGCAAATTCTTTGAACACCTTTCCCAGTACAGGTATTTTAACCCAAAAGCAACAAAACAACATTGTAAAAACTGAAAAGGGGGACAAGACATTTTTCTAAATATTCTGTTCTGAATAATGACTTGCACTTAATTTTCTTAATGGAGTATGGCACAATGAGGTTTTCTTTAGAGGCCTGTGTGTTCTAAGCAGCATTAAAATAACAAAGCTCAATTTAGAGAGCTTAATCTAATTAATAATACAAAGAAAAGCCACAGAAATACACAAGTGTTACTTCCATTTTTTTTGCTGTTCTGTACTTTCTTCCACTTTATCCACTTCAATGTGCAAATGCCTCCCTTGGACCCTGCGCTCCTCCACTGCAACAGGACCTCTAAATTCTATTAGGGAGGAATAACACCATTTCTTATTTTGTCAGCGATCAATGAAAATGGTTGGGGTAGATTTTGACAGGACTATTTTTCCCAAGCTGTTTTAAGAAACCATTTAGACCACAGGAGTTCTAAATAGTTCTTCTAGTTAAATGAAACCGTTCTCCCTCAAAAAAGTAGGTGTACCATAGAACAGAGTACTCAATGGAGAACATAACATTGGCATGCAAGCAAGGAGCGTTGCGGGGGGCGGGGGGGGGCCGGGGCGCGAAGGACACACCACCAACCCCAAGATAAAGACACTTCCATATGCAACAGAACTAGTTACACAGGTATGGGGAAACAGTAATTGAGATTAAGTACAGTCTCCAAAAGGTCTCTAAAGGATCTCTAAGGATTCTCCAACTGACTTTCAGAGACATACTAAGAAGAAAAAACACTGTCCCAAGAACTACTTCCCTCATAAAACTCACTACATAGTGTCTCAGGACTGACAGTAATGAATGAACAAGACAATTCAGATCGTAGATATACGGCCTTATAATCCATACTAGTTTGGTATTTAACACAACCTTCTTCCACTCCCACTCACTACAGATCAAGCCACCAAGTGGAACATACACTGCTTCCCTAAGAAGCATCTTGTCAAAAGCAATTCAATGTGATCCAAGGGTAGCATCACATGAAATTTACATTTAAAGACGACCGCAAGGATCAAAAAATAATTTAGGGACTAAAAAGATATACTTACATCTGGATATTCTTTTACAGGCACATATAGTTTCTCTTGTAACTGTACAATAGGTCCCACAGCATCTGGTAATTCTGCACTTCTCTTCTCCGTACTACCATTTAATGTGTCGTTATACATGTCTTTCCGTACTCTGCTAATTTCTGTGGGGGGAAAAACGTATATTAGGTATTAAATACAGTAACAGATTATAATCTAGCATGACAGTCTTCTCTTTCTAGTCTTTCCCAAATCTTAACGCCATTTTCTTCCTTTCTTCACGAGCATCATGGTAACTTGAAAGAAAAATCTACTCTGCTTTTGTTTAGGTTTTTTGTGTTTGTTTTTTGTTGTTTTTTGGGGTTTGTTTTGTTTTATTTTTAATTGCAGCACCCATCTTAAATGTTTTCTTCATGCCTGTAAATTTGCTACCTACTCATCCTGTTTATGGAATTCAGCTATTGAAGTAAAAATTATGTGCAACTCCTTAGAACACTTACAAGATTGTTCACATCATTTAAAAGGTGTATAAAAAGTTCTTTCATGTATTATTTTATAATAAAGCATCTAGAAAGCAAAAAAAATTAGAAATCTGTACCTAACAGAAAATACAAAAATGCATCTATACAGTACTATTTGCTAGTTATGAGATTAACTATAGCATTTGGAAATGAAATGGTGCATCTTTCAGCAATGAGAAATCTTGCCAATTCAAGGGTGCAGTTACTGAGAACATGGTGTGACAACAAACTAGTAAATATTGTTGTACTGACCACCCCCAGTGAGATAATGAAAACGTATGATATCAGAGACCTGGGCAACCTCTATATACACCCAAACGTCCTACTATTTCATTGCAAAATAATGAAAAACTCCTTGACGGCACCAGGGAACGTCACAAGTGGACTTATAAGTACTGTTTCTACCAATTATACCTGTATTACCCACGCATTGAAGTATTTACATGCACAATGTAGTTGAGTAGTTATAAACAAGGTAGTTAAAAATAATTTGATTTAATTAGTTTCACTAAACTGTAACAATCTGAGAATGGACACAAAGCTTTCTCTTATTTAACCAAAAAACATATTTAACAAGAGCTTATATTTCATTTCTAGAACTGTTAAACTGGTATTTAAATTGCTGCTATAAGAATAAAAAAACCTACATTTTTTAACTTGCGGAATCCCAACTACTATAAAATTTTCTCTATAAGTTTATTCCAATATCACTAAACAATTACTTAAAATGAGTGTATTAACCAAGTTCCAAACTTTCAAAATATTCAGAATTAAAATGAAACTGAAACCAGAAATTTATGTTTTCATCTGACTGCAGGAAGCCACAGAAACGAGAAGTCACTTGAAACTCTAGCAGCAGACGAGAGATTAATATAACCTCTGTTTCATAATCAATTTCTTCTCTGGCAAATGATTTATAGCTGAGATTTCACCACTTAAAATGCTAGGGAGGAGAGGAAGAGTGTCAGAAACGACGAACCTCTGAAACACAGCAGACCCAATTTTCAAGTGAGTTAATCTGAATTAATTCTAACAAACTTACTCTGCATATTCAAGAACAAGTTGTTTCTCCACTGGAAACTGACATACTCAGTCATGTATACTATATAATGATTTGGTGGTTAACACCTGTTTAGAATGGAGAACACAAATTTCATCATCATATAATCATAGCTCAAGGAAAAAATCCACAGCTGCTTCTGCACTGACAATTTTGGCAACAGGCACGAGATCCTCAGAACTACAAGCAGTATTTATACTGGCTTCAGTATATAAAGAAATCCTTTAGCACATCTCTTTGAACAAATATTATTATCTTTTGGCAGACTTTGTTTCCTTTTCATTCTCTTCAGATTTTCCATTAACTTACACTACACTGAAACAAGCTAGGCAGTCTGCCGAAGTACTGAAGCATAAGTAGCAACATGGTCATTTTTATTTATATTTGGCAGCTACAGAGAGGTTGCACTGAAAATTTCATTTTAGATTGTATCTTTCATGTAGAATATAATCACTAACATTAGATAGCCTAGTTTTCACAGGAGGGAAAGAATACTTGTTTTAATCTTTCCCTTGCAAATCCTCATACGTCACATTCGTGACACTGTAGAGCCAAACATTCGGAACACGTGTAGATAGCGTGATAAGCTGGCTTGAGAACTACCACTGAGTTCTGGCTTGTGTGAAACCTTAGCCATCTATCGTGTTCAAATGTTATACAGAATGAAAACAGCTACTAACTCAGGATTTTCTACTCCACTATAGGACCAGACACCTGAAATTTGGTCATCTTTGCTTATGTAGGTTTTTATCTTCTCTCTCTCTACATTCAAGCCATTGGTAACACTGACAAACATCAGGACATAGTCAGCTACATCAACTCAGCATTATCATCAGCTCCTCAAGTGCTACTGTTCCTTCTGCTTCTTGGCAGTTTATCTTCTCTCTTGCCTTAGATACTTTCCCCAAGACCTCAGAAGAAACATTCAGAAGCAATAGGGGAAATAACAAGCATGTATTCCCATTTTTTCTTTAACTGCTGATCAGGTCTCCAAATTCCCTTTCGGTATAATACACTGTTCTAGGAGCCTCTCTTTTCACTTATCTTGTATTTGGCAGAACTGAAGGACTACTGCTTAAATTATAAAATAATTAGATCAAACTTCCACTTCGCCCATTCGCTCTCACTTCTAACTATGGATAGAACACAACCTTCCTAACTTGTTAGCCTAGCGACCACAAGCATTCTCCCGAATATACAACTCAAAGTTATTTATCTGCATAATATGCATCCTGGGTTTTTCCAGATTCTGCTGAACATTTTTACACATCCTCAAGATATTTTTTTTATGACTAACAGCAGTTTTCACAGATAACCTGCCTCTTGTTTAATCACACCTCTTGTTTCTCAAAAAGAGTCCATACAAAAGTATTGAATTTTGATCACATAATCTTTCCTTTTACCACCTCCATTAAACCAAATTCAAGCTTCTAGTCTCTTGAGTATCTTGCAACTTTGCCACTCACTTTAAGCAGTTACATATATCCATAGAACTATCTGCTACTGCATTTCCAGCACCTCCCTCAAGAGTTTATCAGAAGTGCACTAAGATTCCAGAAAGCCTCACCAGCAGCATGTTAGAATAGCTAAAAGCTCTACTCTCCTTTCACCTCTAGCAAGTATCCATTTTATTCTGTTCTGAAATACTTTAATACTTAAAAATCTTGAGGATAGTAGTAGTACAGAAGGAGGAAGGTCACATCCTCAAAAGTGTACCTTTTTATTTTTTACCATGGAATCCAAATTTCGTTAAAAATAAGAGGAACTCAGGTAAACAGCCTTTTATTTCGATTTATTTCACATCATTTCTTACACACTACCAAGCAGATGTCTTGTCTTCCCTTCCCAAAAACTTCTTTGGCACGTCTCTCATGAAATCACACTTCCCAAGTTCATTTGCAAGGCTTTAGCTCCTCCACATTTACAATTCTTTATAAATTCTTCCATCATGATATCTCACAGGAAGCCAACTGATTTAAAAATAAGGAAAGCTTTACTTTCAAAGCGAACGTCTAAGTACAGTTCTAACTACTTTACCTCTATCGTAACACTGCAGTGGTAATTATGTTGTATAACACTCCAGGGATTTAAAAGAGAGTTAGTAAGGAGAGATACTTAATTACAATAGTAGATATGGCTAAAAAAAGCATATAGCAGCTTCACCATACCTCTGAAACCTGTGAGCTCTGCAAATGCAGTAATAGGCCTCCCTTTGAAAAGATCTAAGTACCCATCTCTACTGTAGGTAGAAGCAGAAATTCATATGAAAAATTTCAAAATGCACATTATTCACCTTTAACAGGACTCTGGTCTGTATGTTTTAAGTAGTAAGTTTAGCAGTAAATGACAAATTTGTCTTGCTCACAGCAGGGCAGTGGAGGAATAGACTCAAAAAAAAGACAAACTGGTTTCAATATAATTATCTTGTTCCACCTTAATACGGCATGACACAGTCACCTATGGTGGCAATGACATGCATTCTAGCCCAGGAGAACGTTTTCCTTCCTCTGTCCCTGAAAACTATGCAAGTAATGTAATCTTTTGTTTTCTTTCTTCATCCACAGATAGTATTTTTCAATCTCTCTAACACCTTTCTACAATATGATCTGAAGCAGGACACGCTGTTTATACTGACTACATTTGCCTACAGAGATTTACTTTTTTGATTTCTTCATGACACTTAACAATAAAGTATTCTTCCCTCTTGAGCACATGAAGGACTGTGTTCAGATAAATGTTTGCCATCACATTAAAAACCACCGGGAAGTTACTGCTTTTCAGCTGTCAATTATCATTCCCTGAGAGGAAGTAAGGCTCTGCACATGTGTTTAAGACTGTTGGACTGCAACGTAAAATGGGTTTACATAAACCACTCAGCAAGCATATTCAAAGTAGGAAATCACTGAAAAGGTTCAAATTCTTCCTATCCCATCACTTTCAGAGTTGCAAACTACCCTCACCCTCAGTGCCCACAGCTTTAGAATTTCTCACCGTGAGGGCTTCTTCTAAATGATAAAGCTTTATCTTTTGAAAGAAAAGCAGAGTTGGAGACTTTTTAAACCAATGCATTACTCACTGCAGTTTAAACTAGAACTAAGAATTTGAAGAACTGAAACAAGTCTTCTGACATTAACAATTTGCTCCACTTTAGCTGCAGCCATTTAAACAGAGATAAACTGACGCCACTCTCAGCCTATGTTCCTTTCCTAAGTCTAACACAACATCAAGCCATCAATGCACATAGAACTTAATTCTTTAAACTGAAGAAAATAAGAAGTGTTTATCTGTCAGAGAAGAGCCACTTATCTATCATTCTTGATTTTTAGAATACACAGCAAACGGAGGTGGCACAAACCAATAGCCAGAAACAGCAATAGCTTGAGAATGAATCAAAACACTAACCATCTTGTAACACCAGTCAGCATGCTTCCTTAAGGAAGCAAAGCACTACACTCAGATTCTCAATCACAAACTAGTTTCCATATGAAAAAAAAAAAAATAAAAGTTATGAGCAAATTTTTTAAAGTTAAAAATTTAAGAGGTAAGGTGAGAAAACCAGT